TAAGGGAATAGGATACTGAGCATCTTTTTTTCTTTCCTTGGCTTTGTCTTGGTTTTTCTTTCCACACAGAATCTCTTGCTAGGTGTCATAATTTGTTTTCCTCCTCATATTTTGTTAAATGAGTCCCTTTCTATTCTGCAGTACAAATGTAATATATTCTGGATGTTCCATAAACGTTCAAGAAACCTGATTAGTCTGACTCTTTCATCTTCACTTCTTTGTCTCCTTTCTATGCAGCAGCACATGCTGGCAGATGACAAGCTGGAAAGCAGCTTTGCAGAAATAGTTCTGGTGGACCCCAAGCTGTACAAAGTGACAAAGAAAGCTAATGGTGTCCTGGACTGTGTTAGGAGGGGTATCCTTCCCCCACTCAGCACTGGTGAGGCCACACCTGTAGTACTGTGCCAGAACTGTAGTTCTGGGCTCCCCAGTAAGAGTCACTGAGTAGGAAGGATCTTCCACACCTTCCTTATTTGATCAGTCATTTAAAGTGTTTTTGCACCGGACAGATTAATCATGTACTTTCTCTATTTTCTTCATCACTTGCATAGGTTGAACTCCACAAACTCCACATTGTAAACATGCTTTCTAGAGACTTAATCATCTTTTTTCACTTCTCCAATTCTAATATTTTACCGTTTTAGAAAATATGACACATGTTTCCGGGTATGGTAGTGCATTTAACAGTGCAAGGTAAAGAAGTAAGATGTCTCTGTTGCTTCTATGTCATAATCCCATTTTAAAACCTGTACAAGTTAAATCAAATGCATGTTTCAGAAGAGGACAGGCAATATACGTGGTGCACCAGCTGTGCACATAGGTATGCAACTGTAGTCTGAGCTACTCTCAGCTCATTGTTTCCATTTTTTCCTAGGTCTGTGCCCTTCTGAAATAATAAGCACTGCTTATTAGAAGCACGTGGCTGGCCATAATTTTTATTATTTTCATGAGGTTGTTTTTTGTTTTTGTTTTGTTTTAAGAGATTAAAAAAAGCAATGGACAAAAGATATGCTGGTCTCAATATCAAGAACATACCAAGTGGAGGATAATTTGAGCTTGCATGTCTGCAAGCTCAAATTCACAAGTATGTGAGGAGGTATGACATGTTAATGTCTGTTAGAATATACCAAATTTCTGGACCTCTGTGCAAAATCTTTCTTTGCTAGTGGCAAGCCTTGCCTAGCTTTCCGGGAGTCTGTGAAGCTGCTCAGCACTTGATGCATTGCACTTCCTGTTTCAAGCCAGCCTGGTGTATCACTCATCTCCTTACACTTTCTCAGTCCTCATCCATTTCCCATATTTCACAGCTTTCACCAGCTTTTCTGTCTAACTGTAGTTTTTGTCTTGAAAACCTTGTGGCAGTCCATCCTGAAACCAGAAAACATGTTTTGCTTAAATCCTTCCTGGTCCCAGCATTATGGTCCTCCTAGTGCAGAAGATTGAAAACCAAGGAGAAACTAGTTATGAATTTATGACAGCCTGGCATTCCAATGTAGAGAAGCATTTTGCTTATATATATATATATATATATATATATATATATATATATATATAATTTTGCTTTTTGCCTTCTGAGTTTGGAAAGGAGGAAGAAAGATAATTTGAAACCAAAACATAGATAGATTTCTTTAATAGAATTATTGTATTTTTCTGGCTGAGTGTAACCTCCAATAGCAAATAATTCACCTGAAAGAGGAAAAAGTGCCCTAAGGCCTACTTGCCGTGTAGTGCTTTTTTAATATCGATCTCCTCAGAAGTAACTGTAGAATATTCTGGAAATGCAACACTCCACTGTTCCATCACTTGTTAACCATAGGGAAATATTTCTTGTTGCAGTAGCACTGGCTGGCATTAAGGAATTTTCAGTAAAACTAACTGACTTTCCTCTTTGCTAACAACCTTTGCTAATGACCTGTATGCTGGGAGCAAGTGTACACTCACCAAGTTTAAACAAAAGACTTGGAGGAGTGGAGGCCAGACAATTGTGTGGCCATCCAGAGGGGTCTCAAGAGGCTGGGGAAATGAGCAGAGAGGAACCTCCGAAAAAAATCTAAGGAAATCCAAAGTCCTGCATCTCGGGAGGAATAGCCCCCAAAATGCCCAGGTACAGGTTGGGGCAATCCATCGGGAAAGCAGCCGAGCCGAAAAGGACAGGGATGGGCTGGTGGACAAGCTGAAGATGAGGCAGCAGTGCGCCCTCGTGGCAAAGGCAGCCAACAGTGCCTGGGCTGCACCAGGGAAAGCGCTGCCAGCAGGATCAGGCACGTGCCCCTCTAATCAGCGCCAGTGAGGCCCCATCGGGAATCCTGTGTCCAGTTCTGGGTTCCCAGTATGTGAGAGACGTGGACATACTGGAGAGAGTCCAGTGAAGGACTGCAAGGATGGTTTAAGGACTGGAGCATCTCTCGTATGAGCCCAGGCTGAGTACATTGGGGCTGCTCAGCCCGGAGAAAAGAAGCCTCAGAGAGATGGAATGAGTGTGTATAAATCCCTGGAGGAAGGGTGCAAAAGAGTCTGAGCCAGACTCTTTCCAGTGGTTCCCAGTGGCAGCCCAAAGGCAATAGGCACAAACTGAAACACAGGAGGTTCTCTCTGAACACCTTTCAGAAGGAAATCCTTTTTACTGTGAAGGCTGAGCCCTGCCCCAGGTTGCCCAGATATGCTGTGCAGTCTCCCTCTTTGGAGATATTCGCAAACTATCTGGACATAGACTTGGGCAACTTGCTCCAGGTGACCCTGCTCAAGCAGGAGGGTTGAGCTGGATACACTTTCTAGATCCATTCCAATCTCAACTATTTGGTGATTTAGTGCTGGTAATCAGTGAACTTGAAACAATCTATCACAACTGAGTCTGATAACAAAATTTTACATTAGAGCATTGGATGCAAATCTGGTGCATTTTTGCCATTTCTTTGCTAACATTTCTTTGTTTTCTGAAACTCATAATGTTCTGCCTAAAAATAAAGGAATAGTGTTTGTGAGTGAAGATGTTCCACACTGTGGTACATATTGGATGTACACTCTTTCATGTACTTGCCACATCGATGGATTCACTGACTGAAAGCTGTCAAAGAAAGAAATGAAGTATGTCAGGCGATAGCCTGGAAATGTGAATGCATTTGTATGGAGGACAAAAACACCAGCACATCAGCCATGCTTTTCCTGTGCCTTGCTACTGTGCTCATTACACCTGCTAGTGCAGAGAAATAATGTTTCAATGCACAGAGACAAATTAAGATTTTCCCTGAAGCCCATCTGCTTTTTTTCCCTTAAATCTTTACCTGCAGGAAGGAATTAGACTTGATTTAAGGGAAAGAATAGAGGAGGTAGAGAAATTGAGCAGTTAATAGAAAGAGGTTGGCAGCCTAAAGTAGAGGGATGGCAAGGGAGAAAACAAACAACTTCACCAATTAGGAACAAATTAAGGATGGAAGGGAGTTGTCAAAGGATAAACCTAACCCACCATGTTGCCTTTTCCACTAGTTACAGTTGCTGATGTACATATCATATGTACATATGTACGAATGAACATATGAAGCCTCCACTTGTCAGTCTCAGTCATTGCAGCAATACCTTTTTTATTCATTTGCTTCCAAGAAGTAATTCTGGAAATGTTTCCTCCCTGAGATCACCAAATGTTGGTATTCCCTAACAAGATGCTTTAATGTAAGGAGAATAAAAACAGCAATACAGAAAAAGACATATGTTTTAATCCATCATTAAATAAGCTTGCTAGAAAGTACAAACTTTTACAAAAAATTAAAACCTTTACCTTCTAATAACATTTGAATGATATTAATCTGAATGAAAATATTTTGAATGTTAGTGTAATAGCTTAATAAACTGACTACCAAATAATTTAGCTAACTAAAAAGGACATGCATTTCTCTCACATACTTGAAAATGGAGTAAAAATTGAGGTGAAATCTAGCAACTCTCATCGTTTAACAGAAAAGAATATTTCTACCCAACAACTGTAGAAAATTTATGTCCCCAGACTGCAACACTGAGCTGAAATTTGTCTTAAGAATATGATGCTAATGTCCCTGCTCTTTCTGAAAGTGTCAGACCTACAAACACAATCAAGATCTCGGAAGAATTTTGTCTCAGTTCTGCTGCATTCTTCCTCTGGAGAGATGTCAGTGCTGTTGAAGAATATAAAGTGCAGAGATCATTCAAAATTGGAGAACTGACACATTTTGAGCAAAACAAAGGATCTTTTCTGAAGGATAAAACTCCTTCCTATGGCTGAATATACCACAGTGTATGAATTGTTCTATCATCACGGTCTGAAGCAAAATTAAGAACATAGTCAACAAAAAAGGAACATGACTTATGTAATATTTTTTCATTATCTGCTCAGCCTAATTTTGTATGGTTAGATATACACACATATGATACCTCATGCTGTCATTTTCTATCCCTGCATCCACCTGAACAACTCTTACAACTCTCAGTCAGAATACAGAGGAACAAAGTGTGGAGGTACTAACTGTCTGGGTGTATTAAGCTTGGATGATATATATATTAAAAAAAAAGTTGTTAATCACAAATTATGTTTAAAGCAAGTATTTCGTTTAGATTATTTCTAGATTCAAATGCTTGATAGGAATTCCATGACTTTTCTCAGAAAGTGGGGATGCGCCTCGAAGTTCCTCTTCCAGATGTGAAGCTTTACAAGGAAGTTACACAGTCGCTCTGCCAAAAGCATTTATGGCTCATGGTCAGGAAGGAGGCTTGAAACTAGATGAGCTTCAAGGTCCCTTCCAACCCAAGTCATTCTACTATTCTATGGTTCTATGATTCTATGATTTATGGCTAATAGCTTACCTCTGATTGTGTTTGCAGTGATGGTTATGAATCACAGATTGTGGCTTAACTCTTTCTATTTCTGAGACATTCTGTGACCCATACAGCTCTGCTTTCTCCATTGACTCTCAGGATTTTACATTGTCACAGTGCATATTAAAAGATACAACAAAAAGGTAGTCATGCAGACAGGCAGAGCATCATGTTTACTACCATCTACTACCATTCTGGAGCAACAATAAAAACAGAGAACACTGGGCAGTAGGTTTCAGCCATCACACAAAAGTGTTGCATGTTGTTCTGTAGGGCTTCTGAGGAGGATTCTTGTTCTGGCAGAACCTCTAAAAACATGGGACCTCATGCTTTGCTGGGTGCAGAGGTGGTTCCCAGTCAGCAGTCTGGCTGATGGCCTCAGTTTCAAGCTGGATAGCTTCTAGACTGCTAGACTGACACCTAGAATAGATCAATATGTGATTTACAGACATGGGAAAAACAGGAGAGGGTAAAGGAGTTGATAGTAAATGTCCAGTTATCTTAGAATTTCAGAAAAGAACAAGGTGAGGCTCAGGACCCTTAACTGTATAGGGAAACAGGACTGACTGAGGGATGCATTTCCCTCTTGCTATAAGGAAAATAGATTTTGATGTCAACATGATTCAATGCTGAATAAACCCTGGACTGCTGAGAATTAGTCTCGGAATAAAATAGAGAAATGAGATGCCAAGATCAAGTTCTGTTCCCAGTACAAGATGATTCTTTTAGCCCAGTGTGTGGGCAGCTTGTGGTGGAGCAAAGTTCAACTCTGTGATGACAGAGATCCTTCTGTGAACTTCATGTAAGTTCATCTCATCCCTGCCCCAACTCCACCTTTCTTATAGCAGTGATAGGCAAGATTTATATAGTTCAATGACTTTAAGAGCCAAATCTACCCCAAACCCAGAAAAAAAAAGAAGGATGAAACTACTGGAAAAGGTGGTAAGATGGTGCCATGACAGTCTCACAGAGCACAAAAATGGGCAGAAGTGGATTCCAGGATGAGATAGGAGAAAGATGCTTTGACTTACTGCAGGATGGACTAAGTTGCTACAGGAACTAAATTGTCCTAGGAAGTTTAGCTTAAGTCCAACATGAAACCTAACTTTCTGTCAGCAGCTTGAAAGTAGGTAGAGGGGTGATTACGAAGGGTAAAGCCTGTGAGCTGAGGGATGGTAGAGCTGAATGACACGTAGCAACTTACTCTGGTTGGTAGACAAGATATTTCTGTTCTTCTTTAATATCACAAAACCCAGAAGAAGTGCAGAAATGATCACTACAACCACAGCTATAAGTGGGCCAAAGAAATTTATCTTTGCTTGCTCCATTTCTTTCTCTTTTATCTCTGAATAAGAAAACAAAGAAGATACACACAGCCAAGATTTAATTTGGTGGCAATTACTTTAAACACTCTATCCCAATGTTACATGAAATAGAAGTTTAGGTCAAGGCCCTTGACATCCTTTTTGCTTTGCTAGTGTCAAAAAATCACTATCCACATTATTTTATTTCCGGTTCCAATAACTAGTGAAACTACCTGGTCTTACTACTCACTTAAACAGCAGCAAAGCAAATAATTCTTTCTAAGGTTTGGGTAGCATGTGAAAGATCAGCAACTTGATTGGTGCAACAGCCTATGAGGTAGCTACAGTGCCAATGCTGCTCCATGTTATCATGCAAGTTGGAAGAACCTGGAACATGTTACTACTTGGTGTCTGTTGGAAATGATGGTCAAAGCCTAATGAAATGCTGTAAGGGATGTGAAAGTAGCAGGGAATTCAAAGGACTTTCCCTCTATTTCTGGTTTTTGTGTTTTTGAGGTTTTGGTTGGCAGGGTTAGCAGCTGATAGAGCTTCAGTTATTGCCAAACAAAACTGATGTTTGTGTAGAGTTCCTGGTTTCTTACCCACCATCACTGCTTGTCAGGTAACTATTTTCATAAAGCCACATAGGAGAGAAGAATTGAAGAGGAAAGAGGAAGATTCACCATTATAGTTAATATAACCATTTCAAAACTAATGAGCAATGTGCAGAGCTGAACAAACATTAGAAGGCTTCTGGATTGTATTTTAAGAGTATTTGAAAGTCCTGTAATGCAAAGACATCAGAGGCAGTTTGCCATATCTGGTGTTGATAATTTAACTCTTTAGCTAAATTTATATTAAGAAAACTTCACTATGGAACTTTTTCAGAACAAGTGGCAAATTTATTTTACATCTGCAGTAATAAGGTGCATATTTAAACTGCCCTGGTAGGCTTTCCTGCAATACTACCATTCCCTCTTGGCTCCTTGTTCCTGTTAATTGAAGCACAGCTCTCCATCTTCAGCATTGTCTAAAAGAGACATGTGCAAGACAAAGGAACGTATGACCAAAATGGGAATTGTCTTTGTTTTGATGTTCTTGTGCCATAGCTTATTAAAAAAAAAACATGTGAAAAGACGTTTTCCTGGTCCAGAAGATAAATAAAATACTGCTTTAGTTTAAAGAAAGGATCAGCCATGTGGAACCCTGAGATAATCCATCAGTAAAGTCATAATGGAAGTCAGGTCCCCAGCTTCTTCTTGCAAGAGGTGTCTGAAAAAAGACACAATTTCAGAGACGAAAAATCCCCAAATAGTCATTTTGGAATGTGCACTTAATTCTGCCAAATGTTATGAAAACCACCAGGAATGCTTCTAATATTAGTCCAAGTCTCATGGTCTTTACAGTTAAACTCAGCACAGTTTATTTGGCAGTTTGTGAACCAAATATGGTCCATGGAACTCTTCTGTTTAGCCTTATGCCTCTTTCTAAGAAATTATTAAGAATAGCAGCTCAAGCATTTTAAACCAGCAAAAGACTCCTTTTTAATATCAGGGTAGTCAAACTCTGCAAGTTTGTGGAGTCTTTATCCTGGTAGATGTTTAAAATTCAACTGGATAAAGTGCTGTGCTACCTACTGACCCTACTTTGAGCAGAGTGGTTGTACTAGATTATCTCCAGATGCCTCTTCCAACCTCACCAGTTCTCTGATTCTGTGAAGTGACAACTTCTCCCAACAGTTGTCACCTCCAGAGACTGGTTGCTGCCTGATCCAGACTCCTAGGTTGCTTTGTTGCTACTGCAGCATCTTCCAGGGAGGAGATCAATAGGGTTGTGTTCTGGATTGTGTAGCAATTCCTTCTCTGTGCCCTCCCCTTGCTGTAATAAGATTTCCCATGTGGAAAAGAGAGGAAGTTCAGCAGTGAGTAGGATAGAGCACCTACAACCCTTTTAATCAACTCCTAGTCCTACTTAGAGTTTATTCCCTGCCTTGAACATGCTGCTGTCTGTGATCAGCTGTGCTGCAGTACTGCCTGCTCCTACCCATGCAGAAATTGGAATGGCCAAAGGGAGACTCACCTATGCTCAGTGGGACTGAGACAAGGCTTCCCAGCTGCTCCCTAAGGTGAAGCAAGCAGCTGATATTAGTGGGGCTCCCTGCAGGAACTGGGATATTCAGCTTGCTGGTAACGTTGTACAGCTTTGTCACAGCATCCTGTGAGACATTCATGTGAGCCGGGCTGCTGAGTGTTTTGTTCTCATGTGAAATCAGCCAAGTCATCTCCTTGGGCTCTGGATAACCTCCACTGGAAGAACAGGTTAGGTTCAAGTATCCATTGGGCTTTAGTTCCCCGGAGTGCAGTTCTATCTCAGGTTGACTATAGTTGGCTGAAATAGACCAAAGACAGAGCATCATGAGCCAGCCACACCACGTTTGTGACAGTCTCTGCCAGTTATTTAATTTTTAAGTTATTTAAGATTTTCAGGCAGCAACAAGTCTAAACACTTTTCTTCAGGAAGACAATGGGCATTCCAATAAGGGATTTGTATGGCATTTTTTTGGTGTGTATGTAGACTTGCTGCTTCTTGTTCTCAGGGTGTTTCAAGGATGCAAGTCTGATCAGTCAGACAATGGACCTCTGTCTCTCCCACCTCTTTAAGACATATTAATACCTCAGAATAATGAAACCTTAAGCCCCACAAATAAGGCTTAAGCAGAAAATGGGAAGGGACTACAATGTTCTCTACCTTTGGTATCTTGAATGGGTAAGGGGAAACCCACAAACTTCTAACCGGGAAATGTAAAAATAGAAATAATCTGAGAGAATCCAGATAGGGTAAGTTCAAAGTGCAGTGCTGTTTAAGTAGAAATATGCCTGGTGTCTGTCGGTATTGTAAGTAAACATTCTGCAGCATATAATTCATCATCACTTTGTGGCAGGGTTCCCTTAGCTTAGCTTTTCTGATGGAATTGACTATAGCATAAGGGTTTTTTATTTTGTGTCATTCACTCATCACAATAAATGAAAAACACACCTGTTGCTTTAAAAAGTCGAGTTTCCCATGCAAGAAATAGTGAAACAGGAATGGGAAGAACTATTTAAACATAAAATACGAATGATAAATAGAAGCTTTTAACCAATACCCTCTCTTAATTAATCTAGATATACTCAACCAGGATTTGTTTGGTCAGAGGTTTATAGTAAAAATAATAGACTATAATTGAAAAGGAGAAAGAGAGAATGTTGTCATAATACTGACCACTAAGTAGGCACATAGCAAGTTAAAAAAAAACCCCAAAGAACCTCCCAAAAAGTCAGAAACAAATACTGAGAAGTAGACTCAAGATTTGATTGCAAATTTTTAGGGCCAATAGGACTAAAGAATATGCAGAAATATTGGAGAAGGGAAAAGGGCTCTTAGGAAAACGTGAGTCTTGAGAGGGTGAGTCTCACTCTTCTGTACATACACTTAGTGTGTTGGAACAAGGATCTAATCCTTGCCCTAGAGGACTGTTAATATGTATGAATGAAAAAACATGATTTTGCTTTTATTTTCTCTATCCTAATACACAATGCATAGGATTTAGCTTAGTCACTTAAAACCCCCCAAGAGAGTTGATGGATATGAATTCAAAATGAAAGAAAGCCTCCCCTTTTCTATACCTCAAAATTTAGTTAAGGTGTCCCTCAGAAAAGCTCAAGGTCTGACTTGCTTAGCTGACTGCTGTCAGACTTCTAGTCTGGAGTATTTATTCTCTCCTTGGTATTTTATAGGGATAGCAAGAACGTAATCCATGGCTATGAAACTTGCCACAACATCCAAGTGATTTAAGGGCTTCAATCTTATTGACAGTAAGCAAGTAGAAATAGTAGAATACAGGTTGCACTTCTCTTTTATAGTTTCTGGAACCTCAATTTACTGAAAAGTGATGCTGGGTGCATTCAGGGTGTGGGCTACATATATGGGGTTTATGTTTGTTAACAGAAAAGCACATTTCAGGAGGTCTTATTTATTTAAAGATAGTGTCTTCCAAAAAACTTTGGGATTTGGTTAAATAACTCAAGAAACAGCAGTCCATCAAGCCCTTAATATTTTTCTCAATGGCTTAATCACTTTGCTTTTATTCTATTTTCTTAAGTGACCATCTGCCTTACTTCCTTCCAGACACTGACTGTTGCAGAATTAATTAACTAGCCTTTTTTTTTTTTTTTTTTTTTTTTTTTTTTTTTTTAGTATGCAGTATTTTACATGTATTTCAGGTTCTCACATTCTGGAAACAAAACTCTTCTGATTATTCTGTGTTATAAGGTTGTAAGATTGTTGTTTTAATGTTTCTAGTTGACTGTATTTTTTCCAGTCTTCAGATAACTCTACTAGAGCTTTTTTTCACACTTTTCAGTTTTTCAACATCCTCTTTAAAATGAGCAACTCTAAGTCTCTCTTGTGACATCATTTCAGTCTCAATGCTCTGAGTAGTGCATATTTTGAAACAGCTTCCCTAGTCTTACCTACTTCCCTTATTGATCTATCCAGAGGAAGCACTGTAGACATGCCACAATAGCAGATTTTCCAGTTAAGCTGCTTGTCGGCATGGTCCCTACCTTGCATTTTTAAGAGCCAGAGTTTTCCACTGTGAAACCTTCCTTTTTTTTCTGGAGATGGATCTGAGTCTGTTTTTATATAAGTCATCATGGCTGTATGAAATACATCTAACATATATATAGAATCCTAGAATTTCTCGAGTTAGAAGGGACTCACAAAGACCATCAAGTCCCTGGCTCCACAAAGGATGGCCAGGGAGTCACACCCATGTGCCTGAGAGCATTGGCTAAACTGTTCTTGAACTCTCTCAGGTGCTGTGACCACTTCCCTGGGGAATTTGCCAGTGCCTGACCTCCCACCCATGGGGTGAAAAATCTTTTCCTGCTATCCAACCTAAACCTCCCTTGACACACTTTCATGCTATCTATATATTATATTAATACATAAAAATAACATGTTTAAATTGTATTCAAAGGTACTGCATTATTTCTGAATACTTTGTCACCAAGTGATCCAGACAGCTTTTTGTGACTGCCCTGTCATTCTCGTACAGCCCTCGGGTTTTCTTATGCCCATTTTAAGTGTGACATGCCAAACTACAAAAATCCCTCCCTGTATGAGATGAGATTCTAATTAAAAAGCAACATGTAAGCACAGGTACATTTCAATATTTGCATTTTCCATCTAATGATTTTGAAGGGCTTGAGTTTCTTTAAAATATGGTTTTATACTGCACCTTCCTTTGAGAGTTTATTGAACAGAGAGTAATTTGGAAGGAAGACAACAGCACATTGTTAAAACTGTCTTCCTAACCTAAACCTTAAAAAGTGTAGGAGACTTTTAGTCCTAAGAGTGAAATGTCTGTAATATGTTGCTCAGATTTTGGGCAAACTGGTAACTGATTCAACTGTTTGAATTGATTGAGCACTTGATGCTACACATCTTAAACCAAGGGCCTTGATACTGAGTGCACATTGTGCGTTTCTGAGTTCCAAAATGCCACTGAAAATGCTTCTCTAGTAGATCCTGGGAGAACCAAAATTTACAATCTACATTTTCTGTCTGTGGAACAAGGGAACACTTGCTAGTAGCACAAAGCTAAATAGGGTCAATTGTCTTGGTACCCTGTTTTTGGCTGCTGTTACACTTGGCCTGTTCTCTTTTAAAGCAGTATGCTGAAGCCTGAAAACACCAGTGCAAGTTAGAAGCTACTTTATTAATGACTAGCACTACCACAGTGGAAGACAGAACACAGGCATAGAGATGAATGCTACTAACAGAATAATTTAAAATAGAGAAACATTAGGATTATATATTAGGAATTAAAATAATATTAGAAAATGTGAAGAGACATTGGTGCCTCACTTCCATCTCCTTGTTAAAAGACTAACTGCCTTTTCCTTTGATTACAAAAAATTCTCTGATGCAGAAAAATCAGGTGGAATCTCACCAATGTATGCATATAATTTTCTTCAGAGGTATTTTCTGCCTTCCTTTAGCTGAATATATGAATTTCTACTCCTACACGTGGGCTGTTTTTTTCTTTATTTTCCCTGTGATTTATATGATCATAAAATAGCTGTGTGTTTGCAGAGATCTTGCCATGTTTCAATTCTAATTTGCCACTAGTGTTGATAAGGTTGGATAATTACTGCTACTTTTAATAGAAAGTAGTTTGTCAGATACAAATAAACAAGTTTATTTTCCAGAGTCCTAAAAGCCATAAAAATTGCAGGAAGCAAATCTCTTATTCGTGTTTAAAAATTTTGCCCCAGAACAGGCACAATTTCAGGACCCATATTTCTGGACTGAACAAAGTCATGGAGAATCCCACAGACAAGATGGCAATCAGAAGAGTTTACTTACCAATGATGTGCAGTGACCACTCAGATTGGTGTATGACCATTTTTGGTTGTTCAGTTGTTTTTTCCATAACAATACACTTATAGTGTCCCTCATCCTCAACTCCTGCATTTAACAACTGCAAGGTCCATTTGGCCATGTCCACCTTGGTGCGATTTATATATTCAGGACTAAGGTTCTCATGCTTTTCTTGGCCATGATATACTTCATGCACCACTTTATTGTCTTTTTGCCAAAAGATTATTAAATTCTTCACGTCAATTTCCTGAGAGTTTGGAAAACAGCAGGATAGGTGTACAGTGTGATGGAGAAATGCCTTCACTGGATGCACACTGGCAGCAATACCTTAGACAGAGAGAGAGAAAAATCAAGATTTCTACCAGCTACAAAAGAATATCAAGTTGCACTCAGATATCCAACACTTAACAACAGTGGAAATAAAACCACCAACATTTAGACACAAATTATCCCACTAGGTATGACAGGACACGTAGTAGTTCAAACTGACTCTTTTAGTCATGAGGAGTTCAGGTCATAAAACTATTTCTTATTTTTCTTCCTATATTTTACTTTCCAAAGAAGGCCTACCACACAGAGATCATGAGCATCTATATTTTAGAAAACTTATCTCCAGGCCAAAGATTCAAACAATTCTTGCTTGCAGCATCCTGAGTGTAGTGAGGTTCTGCCACAAAGAAGATAGATGCACAATTTCTGTTTAAAAAGTTGAGTTAATTCTGCTAAGAAAATTACAACACATTAATTTTTTGAAGAAACTGTGAAGTACACACTGTGTGGTAAGTGTGAGTGTCTAGGGAATGCATGACCAGAAGGTCAGAAGCAGGTGAACACTTTCAATCTCTATGAAGAATTAATCTAAAGTTTAATGACAAATTAAATGTCAGATTTAACTGTTCTGTAATTAATTTAGAATTTAATGACAGAGTAAATGTCAGATTAAACCGTTCTGCTGCTGATCTTGTTAACAGAAATGGTCAATACACACAATTATGCCTTCATGCAAAGAAGGGATGAACTGCACTACAGAAGGGATGATTTTTCTCCTGCTTTCTCCTGTGCATGTGTCCATTATTATGAGTAGTGGCCTGGGGGACTGTGTTTCCTTGGAATAAGAAATGCAGCCCTCTGTCCCAGAAGACACAAACATCTCTGCTGGGTTCAAAAGAAGAAGATGTACAGTCTCTCTCCTGGTGCAAAGTTTTGACTGTTCTTCCAGAGCACAAGACTACAAAATTATATCTGTGGCTGCCTCAAACTCCAGTTGTCCCATATCAGACTGCCAGTTTTCAGTTTAGTACCACCCTTCTCTATAATGCACAGAGGTGATACACACACATTTTAAAGACATTTAAATTGAGAATTTAGGAGCAACATAAAATAAGTGTAATGTAAAGATATAAAGTTGAAGAGAGGAAGTACTTACTATATATATTTTATAGAGTCCCTGCACACAATTTAAATACATGTCACATGGGCTATATGACCTTGATTGTGCAATGGAAGTGATTAATAGTACTAAGAAATGAGCTTCTTAGTGGATGAGAAAGTATCACATAGCAGGACACAAACAATCAAAATAGTTTTGATAATTAAAAATGTGCCTTTTACCTGGGAGAAATATCATAGCACAAAGGAAGAATATGCAAATCTCCATGACACTGTAAGAAGAAGGAAAGAAAGAAATATATTAGAGGTTGAAAACACTCCAGTACTCCCAAAGAGGTGGTAAAACAAGAAGTTTTTGCAAGAGAGAGTATTGAGAAAGTTAATCTCACCTTTTTCTATAGATTGATGCAAGGGATTCTATGTGCTTCCCAGCCTTTAGCAACGACAAGTAGCATGCTATGGCAGATCTCTGGTTTACAGAGAAGGTGTTGTGCAAGATTACTGCAGACTGTGTATGCCATGGGAGGAACACAGAGTCCCTGAGGTCCAACGGGCAGGACAAGTACCCAAAATGCCTGGAGCGGAGGAAAGAGGAATGGGGAGCATGCTTGGCCTGGCAGTGTGGGGAAGAAGATGGGGAATTGAAAGTAGAGGGGGAGGAGAGTGTGATGAAGAAGGAAGAGGTGGGGGAGACATCTCGGTGATGTCAGCTACCAGAAGTGATGAAGTGTGTGACCTTCAGTTTTGTGACCGTAACAGGAACCAATCCTTAACAACAGCAAAGGATAACAGGGAAATCTTATGATATATGATACAGAGAGATGATGCTAAACAGCGCATAGTTCTCGGTAAAGAAAAAATTAGTTTCTTTTTAGGAAAGAAAACCCTAAAAGAAACCCCTATATCTTGTCTCCTAAGCAAAACACCTCTCTGGCTGCTTGGGTTCATGTGGTGTAAGGGCCCATAGTCCTGGTAAGCAGCCAAATGTCATTCCCATGCAATCTGAGAGTGGCACCTGCCTCAAGTCTGTTTGCTACCTTGCATTTTAGCAGCACCTTTGTGGGTTTTGTGTGCCTTTTTCATATATGTGGGAGAAGCCTCCATACCACCCTTGCCAAAGTCCTTCACTCTCCTCCTTCAAACAGCTCCAAAGAAATCACTTTGCAGGAGCAGATCTAAAAATTTCTAGCTTTCATACTACCTAAAACCAGTGAGATCTCTGTCTGCTGTCCTCACTAGCAGTACACTTTCCTGATGGATGATTTCTCATTTTTTGTCATGTTTTATTTTAGGCTGGTACACTTGGGTCTTTACCCCAGGTCTCTGGTGTCTTCTTCTGTTTAATATAGAATTTCCCTCAGTCCACTGACATGTGTTTTTGTGAGTATGCTGTAATGTACAGGCCTGACAAGGGTATTTTTTCCAACTTCATCCTACCTTTTCTTAGGAAAGGGGAGAAAGAAGTCCACATGGCTTGGAGGATATGGATAACTTTCTTTTGATCTACCTGTCATAGCAAAAGAGGCAGGAAGGGAGGGAGGGCTCATTGTCATAGACAGAGGTCATTCTTTTTCTGCTCCAGCCACCCAATTGCATGGTAAACTTTTATCAAGGGATTTTCCCCTCCCAGGATGGGCCCCACTGAACTAAACCAGACAACTGACTTCCTAAGTAAAAATGCCTGTGCCAAGCCACTGAAAATGATAGAAACTTCTTTGTAGCAGTCATATTTCCATCCTATAAATAAGAATTTTAATTTTCAGTCAAGAGAAAAATAAAGGATAGCTCTGTTTTTTTTTTTTTGGGTTTTTTTTTTGGTTTTTTTTTTTTTTTTTATTCTGTGCAGGTGTGTAAGGGGAGAAATTAAAGCAATTCAGCAACTACTGACATAAGTGGAGAGAGTGTTCTGCATGTTTTGCAATGACTGTCTCACAGAAGCAAAGAGTAAAACCAGAACTGAAAATGAGAGTGAGAGAGAAAAAACCCAGGCAAAAACACCAAATAGCATTGCATGCCTTTCTTCATGGTTTGGATTTGGATCTGTGAGGACAGAAATCCTCAAAGTTCCTACATGTATTCCTGGCTGCCATCTTCCAGGAGAAGGCACTTTGCTGGGGTAGATGGCATGAAGAAGCATCCTGTGAGTCTGCAGAGGGGTGTACCTTCTCTCATGGGAGCTGCTTTATAGAGAATTGCTGAATCATTAATCAGGCTGCTACAACTTCAGTGCTGCAAAGAGCTTTACTTCCCCTTTTTTATAAAATGCCTTTAACCAACAAATGCAAATCCTTGGAACCAGTGTCCAGAAGACTGAAGGGAGGAAGGGGAATTACACAGTATCACTGTGGGTTACTTACACCATTCCTTTGGCATATTCAATAGAGATTCTGTGCTCAATTCTCTCTTATATTTGCAGGCCTTTGAAAGTCTTCAGTCCCAGAACTGAGCAGCAGTCAAAGGTGGCTGGGTGAGAGAGGAAAGATAGACATTGTCGGTCTGTGTGTGGATGTGCAGTTTTGCTGTTCACAGTCTGAATGCATCCATCTGTAGAACTGGCACTTTTTCATGGATAACTGGTGAGATGGGAATGGTTTGAAGACCCAGGACTTTAAAATTATCTCTGACATCCTGAACAATATGAGGTCAGACCATGGGGAGGTAAATATTTTCCCTTGCTAAGAAAAGATAGCATACATGGTTTGTCTTTCTTCCCTTTTGGAGAGCTTTTTCAGCCATTCTTGGAGATGTCTCCATGACTCACAATTGCAAATCATGTGTGGACGTCAGAGATGAAAATGGAGAAGCATATTAATTGAAATTATGTCAGTATGCAGTCCGGGGTCACACTCAACTTTTTATTTACTACCTCTGCAGTGCAATCACTGAAAGGAGAAGAAACCATATGAGCACATGCACTTTATAGGCCTGATTCATGAGGGCTTTGGTTTGGTCCAAACCAGTCTGAGAAAACTCATGAGGCAGTTCCCACTTGGCTCAGTACAGGGGGATTCCTATCCTGAATCATAAGATCATAGAATGTGAAGAGTTGGAAGAAACCTTAGAGATCACCAAGTCCCAGTGCCCCCTGCCATGGGCAGGGACATCTCCCAGTGGACCAGGCTGTTCCAAGCCCATCCAACCTGGCTTTGAACACTGTCAGAGGTTGAGACATCCACAACTTCTCTAGGCAACCACTTCCAGTGCCTCACCACCTTCATGGTAAAGAATTTCTTCCTAATATCCAGCCTAAATTTCTCCTCTTGCAATTTGCACCCATTCTTCCCTTTCCTATCACTACAGTTTCTGATGAAGAATCCCTCTCCCTTCAAATACTGGAAGGCTGCTATGGGAGGGACTCCTTGTGGCCTTTCTCTGGACTTACTCCAACAGTTCCATGTCCTTCCTGTGTGGGGGGCACCAGAACTGTACGCAGCACTCCAGGTGGGGTTTCATGAGAGGAGAGGAGAGTAGAGGGGGATTATCACCTCCCTCAGGCTGCTGGCCATGCTGCTTTGGACACAGCCAGCGTATGGCTGGCACTGTGGGCTATGAGTGCACACTTCCTTCTCATGTTGAATTTTTCATCAACCGTCATGCCCAATCCTTCTCCACAGGGCTGCTCTCAATCTCTTCACTTCACCAACCTGTTGGTGTCCCTGGGATTGCCACAACACAGGTGTAGGCCCTTGCACTTTGCTTCTTTGAACTCCATGATATTTGCATTGATCCACATCTCAAGCATGTCAAGGTCCCTCTGGATGGCAAAAACTCTAAAACCAATGTTTGGGAAAAAGAGGCAACTTCATTCCCTTTACTTTTGAGGGCAATTGCCAGAAAACCCTGTGTTACTTATTGAGATTGGTTTTTTGTCTCCTGTTCCTTCCAATCCAGCATGTGAAACCAGTATGTAAAACCCCAATAGGCACAGTGGAGCATGAAGGTCTTGGAGTAAACAAGAGCTTTGTATCAGGTACGCTTGCCTGGGTTTTCATTTGCTCTCCTTTTTGCTGTTTTCAGTTTTGGATGTAGTCATGATCTTTTAAAAGACACTGGCACATCTGTGCTCTTTAACTCCTAAGTTCCTTCATTACCCTTAAGTTCCTTCCAAAATGTTCCTTTCTTGCATATTCCCACAGGTAATTAGTTTGTTTTCTTACCACAGGTACACATATTCCATGGGAACACTCTCCTGCCCCATGCTGAACTCAAAACAAAACTAAACACTGAACTAGTAAAATACTCTTTTTATTTTTCTAGCATGGGGAATTTTTCTAAAATTTCCACCCTATGCAACACTGAGCAGCTCCATGAGCAGTGCTGTGAGCCTCCTGGAGGCAGGACATCTGTGACAAAGACTTTCCACTGCTGACTTGGAAACTATCCCAGGGGCTTGTAAATTAAATTATCCTAAAAATGCATTTACCAGCCTTCCCCCATGTTGCAAATACAGGTTGATCTGTACAAGTCTTATGAAAGGAAATCACGTCTTAAGAAAAGTTCCTTAACTTGGCAAGTTCAGAGGATTCTATGATGCCCTCCCCACTAATACTAAGCCACATGACCATATAGCTATCCAGCAAGGGGCATGTTTTAAAAATATACATTACTCAGGCAACTTGTGTTTCCTATGTGCTTTCCCAGTCAGAAAAGTGTCACTGTTTTAATCAATTGCAAAACATTTTTTATTGCTCATTTTTTTAGAACTATCTTTCATTCCAAATTGCATTTAAAAATTATGGGCTTGTTGTTTAATTATTTTTATTACATGAATAAAATACAACCCTCTGTCTTCCTGCTGTTTGATTTCTGAATGCATTTTGTATCCCTTCCCATTCAGCAATATCCTTACTGTACCTAAGAACGTCAGGAGAACCGAGACTTTCACTATGATTCTGGGATCACTTTGCTCTAACATCTAGAAACTCCTCTTTTAACAACAATAAGAAACATCAATTATTTAAATAATACCTTTGGTCCAAAGATCATGGAGCATTCCAGTGCCTCTGTAAGCAGAATCCTTCATCCACGACTGGGAGCAGGTATGTGTGGAAGAGGGCACAGCGGCTGCCCAGTGGCACAGAGTCCCACTGCACAAATGACAGGACACAAATGTGTTCTCCCTGCAAGTGAAACTGCGGGGGAAATTCGGAGGGGAAGAACGTCATCAAACCAGAATTAGACATTCGTTTGGATTAGCGGTGGTGTTTGAGTTCCACCTAAAGGAAAGGTCAGGTGTACATATTTTTCCACACTTTAGGCCACACTTGGGCACTGAGTTGGCAAGTTGGTTGAACCACTTCTACATCACCGGTACAATAGGTGACGTCTGTGCTCCTTTCCCAGCTCTCACACTTGCCTCAAGGCTAGTAAAGCAAACTTGTCAGCTGGGAAGCAGCAGTTGCTGGATTCACATCTCACCAAATCACAGCAGCCTCTTTGGCTTTGCAGTGAAACAGAGAGAGAGCACACCCCTGTTCCTACACAGGTCACTAGAGTTGATAGCTGATTCACAGG